GAACATCCACTGAGGGCTCCCGGACTGTGAGAGGGGGCAGGCTAGGCTGAGGGACCCCCACCCTCCAGTGCACAAATTTTGTGCACCGGGCCTCTAGTCTATATATAAAGTGGGAAATAGTAATAGAACCTAACCCATAGGGTGTTGTGGAGATTAAATGAGTTAATATAAGGTATTTGCAACAGTGCCTGACACATGGGAAACAAACATGGAAAGTGCTCAATAAATAGCTATAATCATAATCACAACAGTGTATGCCTGACACTACAGTGATTAGCACTGGAGATTATTAATGTTCCCTGCCCCACAAGTTGCTTAGCGTTCAGTCGGGCAAACATTTATCATGCACTTGTTTTGTGCGTACAGGTGAAGAGTACAAGTGAAGGATGTAGTGGAAGCCCTGCCCCTGAAAGCTTACAACCAGTTGAAGGTGTAGTAGGACATATAAAAGGGAAAATTATGTGTATATATAGGGTGTAATTATTTTGCAAAATAAATGCATTCCATGATTTTTTGGCAATTTTGGAAAGGTTTCTGGACAAAAGGTCTTCCACTTTTGTATTCTTCACAGTGCCAGACATAGGACAGTGTCCCTAACAATGGCTTATTGCATAACAAATTGAATGCTTAGCTGAGGAAGACCACGGAAATATTAAATGTGATTTGTTTTATTAAGAGGAATCATTCTTATTTCAGTTCCAAGAAACTATGATCCTACCTTACATCCTTTTGAAGTCCCACGAGAATACGTAAGAGCTTTAAATGCTACCAAACTGGAACGGGTATTTGCAAAACCATTCCTTGCTTCTCTGGATGGTCACCGAGATGGAGTCAATTGCTTGGCAAAGCACCCAAAGAGCCTGGCTACTGTCCTTTCTGGGGCATGTGATGGAGAGGCAAGTGTCACTCTAAACGTTATTTTAAGCTAAAAAATGTTACAAATTTCTTCCTTTAATTTTGAGTTACTGTGGGTTTTCATTGGTTTTATTTCATTTTTATATATTTTGTTTTCTTTTAATTCTCAGGATTGAATTAGTAATTTCAGTAGTTTTTTATCTAAACCCAAGAAATTAAAAAATGTAGTAGGTTAAGTTTTAATTTCATAGTAAATAATAAAACATGTTTATAATAAAGATATTTCCGTGTAAGTTCTATTAATAACAGGATGTTATTAATGATTCAACACTTAATTACTTTTCACTCTGGTAAAGAAAGCTTTGAAACACTTTAAACTAGAATCAACAGAGTATTTAACAGATGGAATGTTCAGCCTTCAGTATACTTACCATTAATTATTGGATTATTACAATCCGAGTATTTTGGTTTTAGCTATCTGATAGAATGATTCATAGCTTTTTTCAATGTTGAATTTAATTTATTTTTTCTTGGAAAATTGTCCTGTGCCTGAACATTTCATTGAAATTACAATTTATTGAAATTTCCTGGTATATTTTATCTTAGGTCAGAATTTGGAACTTGACCAAACGAAACTGTATCCGTACAATACAGGCACATGAAGGTTTTGTACGAGGAATATGTACGCGTTTTTGTGGGAGTTCTTTTTTTACTGTAAGTATAATACAGTTACGTTATTAACTCTTTTCAACATGTATAAGACTGATCTAATTGAGTATTTTCTAAGTTCATTTATTCCTTCCAAGGCTCTTTTGGAGTTTCACAATGCAAAATAACTTACTAAAACCTTGAAAAGTACTTATTTCTTTATGCACTCCACCCTTCCCAATGCTTTTTGATTTTTAAATAAATTACCTAATATAATAGTGAACTAATATCCTATAGAACACTGAGAAGTAGGATTAATGCAAGGTGAGGCTAGAAAGGTAGTTTATTTTATTCTGGAGGATTTTCAGTGCTAGGGATGAGTAAGTTGTATTGTGTCAGTTGAAAATCATTGAAGAAATAAATCATTGCGTATGAGGGGAGGTAAGATATACATAACATAAAGTTTACCATTGTAACCATTTTTAAGTGTACATTTCAGTGGACTTAAGTATGTCACATCACTGTGCAATAATCACCACTATCCTTTTCCAGAATTTTTTCACCCAAACCAGGTCATATTATGCATTTTGTTTTATAACTTGTTTCACCTAATATCTTGAACATTATCTGCCACACACCCAAGTCTAAGTTACCATAGTTTCTTGTCTTGGTCTAGGCTAAGGTGCCACCATTTCTACCATCAATATTTCTTTACCATCTGTACATTTATGAGCACAGTGATAAAGCAAATGATGACTTAACTAACATTATGAAAATAGTTTTGACCTCATGGATCTCTGAAAAATTCTCAGGGTCCTTCAGAGGTCTGTAGTCCAGTTTGAAAACCACTAACATAATAGTTTCTGGAGTTTTGTGTCAGGCATAGAAGGACTTGATTCATGCCAAGATTACAAAAAGGTCTTCTCTCTAGATTTTTATGTGTTTTCATTTTTCACATTTAAAAGTATGTGCAATTTGCCCAGCTCATTGTGGCTCAGTGGTTGAGCATCGATCCGTGAACCAAGAAGTCACGGGATCAATTCCTGGTCAAGGCACATGCCCAGGTTGTGGGCTGGTGGCAGCTGGTCCATGTTTCTCTCTGATCAATGTTTCTATCTCTCTATCTCTCTCCCTTCCCCCTCTCTAAAAATAGATAAAAACAGCCCTGGCCGGTTTGGCTCACTGGATAGAGCATCGGCCTGGGGACTGGGGGGTCCCGGGTTTGATTCCAGTCAAGGGCATGTACCTTGGTTGCGGGCACATCCCCAGTGGGGGGTGTGCAGGAGGCAGCTGATCGATGTTTCTCTCTCATTGATGTTTCTAACTCTCTATCCCTTTCCCTTCCTCTCTGTAAAAAAAAATCAATAAATATTAAAAAATTAAAAAAAAATAAAAATAGATAAAAACATAATTTAAAATAAAAACATAATAAATAAATAAAGTATGTGGAATTTTCTTTGTAAAGCAGGCATCAGATTAGTTCAAATTTTTAAATGGTCACCCTGATATCTAATATCATTTTATTAGAATCTATTTTTCTCTGTAATTTGAGATGCCATCCTATTGCAATATGCATTCTTGCATTTATATGTGACCTAACTTTGTTCCTCTCATTTTATTTTGCTCTACTCATACTATTTTATTTTTAATTTATGTGCTATTTGTGTTTGTTACACATCTTTATTTAGTATAACAAGGTGATATAAATGCATCAGTAATTACAATAGTGGCCTAATATTGTATGTTATTTTTAAAACTGGAGATGTTTATAGTTTGATGTATATGTTGGCAAGTTTAAAAGTTATAAATGTTCATTGTCATCACCATAATAAATATTTTTAGGTTGGTGATGACAAAACTGTGAAGCAGTGGAAAATGGATGGACCGGGCTTTGGAGAAGAGGAAGAGCCATTGCATACAATATTAGGAAAGGTACAAAAATAAGTTGACCCATACTTTGTCTAATATCATTCTTCCTTTTTCAAATTATTTCATAATTTTATTTCCAAAAAAGATGTAAATAAGAAATTAAAGACTTTAGGCTGTAATAAGTAACCTATTTTAAGCAATATCTAATGGATTGTGGTCTTTTGCAGTTAAAGAATATGAACAGTTCTTCAGTGTTCATTGTAGTACACTGAGAGGGGAGCAGGCCTAAGCCAGCAGGCGGACATCCCTGAGGGGTCCCAGACTGGAGACGGCGCAGGCCGGGCTGAGGGACCCTCCACCCCCCAGTGCACGACTGTCGTGCATTGGGCCTCTAGTTGTCAATAATGCCTGAAACAAAATTGGTTTCATAGTTGTAAAATGCTTTTCCTCTAAATTCCAAAAGATTTTTGAAATATTTAGTCTTACTCCTACTTCTGTGGTATGGTCAATTCTAAAATTGTGGGAACATTTGTAGGCTTTGTTTTCATGAATAGAAAATAATTAGAAATCTGCAGATGCTGCTAAGTTCTTAAAAGCTTAAAGTATTGGATAAATATTTCCCTCTAATTTGCTTTCAAGCGATTTTTGCCATGAAATACAAAGGCAGACTTTAATCTGGACCTGAATAGATTTATTACATATTTTAAGTGGATAATATCAAATTTATGAGATTGTATTGCTGTTAACAATATTAGTACCCACCCTCACTGATTTCATTTTTTTCTCTAAATTTTAATCTGGTTGTTGGTATCTGTGTTTCTGTCCTAGGAGTCAGTACTTTATGTGGAATGAAGTTTTTTAGAAATTGCCTTTCTATTTCATTAGATCCTTCAATACCCAATGATGATTTTAAAATTGCTTCAGTGATATATTTTCAAACTTAACTAAATGCATCCCATGTTAACTTTTTTCTTTATTCCCAGAATGTGTGATAAAGACACATCACTCCTTATGGTACTGTCTTTTCCTTTAAGTAAGGGCTTCAAAGAAGTTTCTTTGTGAACAGGGATTTTTCTAAAAAAATGAGAGGGTAGATAAATATATTTTTAAAATTATTCTGTGGACACGATCTATCTGTAACAATCTCTTTGCTTTTAAAGACAGTGTATACAGGAATTGATCATCACTGGAAAGAAGGAATTTTTGCCACATGTGGACAGCAAGTAGACATTTGGGATGAACAGAAAACCAGTCCTATATGTTCAATGACCTGGGGATTTGACAGTATAAGTAGTGTCAAATTTAATCCAATTGAGGTAATGTTTCTTTTTTGAAATATTTTTTGCTTATTGTTTCCTTATTAATAATTTCAACTCTGTGTAGGAAACTTTTAAACATGTGATATAATATTTTCTGAGTTTTGATTATGTTTCTGGCATTTGGTCAACTTTCCAGATTATATCTGAGTTCTAACACCTTTGATCAGATCTCAACACATTTGCCTGCAGTTTAGTCCCAGATAATAGTATTTAGCACCGTTAGAGGAGGTGTGTTCATGGGGTTCGAATTCAAGCAAGTGCTGTACTGTGACAATTCAGTTTTCTTAGACCTTCAACACTTATCTACCACAGATTACATCATTGTACCTTTAGGAAAATGTGAATTATTTTATTTTTTACTTAATTATTTTTTTATGGTTAGACAATCATGTATTTTACAGAGTGGTCCCCCTGATATTTCAAGTACCCCTTCTTGCCCGAACATAACTATTACAATATTATTTTTCCTCCACTGACCTCTCCCGAGCCACTCCCACTCATCAGCACATGCCCTCATCCCAGTGTCTATGTCCATTGGTAATGCTTATATGCATGCTTACAAGTCCTTTGGTTGATCTCTTACCCCGACTCCCCTCCCCTGCCTTCCCTCTGAGGTTTAACAGTCAGTTCCATGCTTCTCTGTCTCTGGATCTATTTTTGTTCATTAGTTAATGTTGTTCATTATATTCCACAAATGAGTGAGATCATGTGATATTTATCTTTCTCCAACTGGCTTATTCGCTTAGCATAATGCTCTCCAGTTCCATCCATGCTGTTGCAAATGGTAAGAATTCCTTTTTTTTTTTACCACAGCGTAGTATTCCATTGTGTAGATGTACCACAGTTTTCTAATCCACTCATCTGGGCACTTAGGCTGTTTCCAAATCTTAGCTATTGTAAATTGTGCTG